GTCTTTTGGCTGGCTTGTTTGTGCTATTGTTTTACCATACTTCGTCTTTTGGCCATTTAGTTGTTCGTACTCTCTCTTATGCTTTTAGTCGTCGTATTTGTTTTAATCTTTTTTCTTGTTTTACTGTACTTGTGATTTTCCGAGCCTTTTCTTCCTTTTCCAAAATTATCCCAGGCTCTTCGGTAAGTTTTCAAAACCTTAATTCCTTCCATTCTTGACAAGCTTTCGGAGTTGCTCAAGATTCCCCTAAAACTTCTTCGTAAAACATTTTTCGCAAGCCTGGGGGGCTTCACAACAAGTACGGTAAACATGAGAAATAGGTTCAAAACAGGTTCCATTGTGTGTTGGGTACATTTGGTTTGGTCTGGTCTGGTCTGGTCTGGTCTTTCTATTGTTTATTAATGTGGATAAGATCATGAGAAATAGAGATTTTTTGGGTTGTTTAGTACTGCCTGTCCCCAGTGTTAACTTCATTGTGAACAGAATGTAGGGGATGTTAATGGGCAGACATCAAGATTATAATAAAACCTTAAGGGACATTCAAAGGTCTCAAATATTTACCTTCTGACTTCTTCGTCGCCAATAACTGTTATTCCTTGGTGTATACCATATGTTGTGCTAGTGTTCAAGATTTTGACTTCCTATATCACTAGGTGAGCGTTAGTTTTGATTCTTTTGCTCAGCTAAACTGTTGTAGGATGTTGATAAGCATGTTATCTATATTATATTATAAAACATTTGACAAAAACTCTTGAAAATCATTTTTTATGCATAAAGTATTGTTTACTAATGCATATTACTTAAAATTCAAGATTACAATTAAATTGTGCACAAGTACAACTTATTAAAGCTTCATATTTGAATCTGTGTAACTAAGAATAGATAAACATAATCAAATAAGGATAAACATCTCATTTTAAATATACGAAAAACTAAAATATAATTAGGATAATAATTGAGTCATAAGAGAATACTTAATTATTGGTTTTTACTTGTATTATTAAACCAAAAATAAAATTACCTCGTTATTATAGTCTAAATTAAACTATAATAAAAAAATTATAAAAGTGGAGAACTTTTAAATAGTTAAATTTGATACTAATATCGTATATTTTTTTCAAAAGTTTAAGATATCTTCAAATTTATATTTTATATTTCAAAAGTTTAAGATATCTTCAAATTTATATTTCGAGATGTATCTCGCTGCATTGTGCGAGTACCCTAGTTTGTTTAAAGTACAAGTAGGCTACACATATAATAGTTGCACCAGCAGTCACCGTGTTTAACTTTAGTTGCACGATTCAACAGTAGGAAAGCTGACCAGGGATTTCCTTGCTCTCTCCTTTCTGTTAAATTGTGTTGCTTTATCTGGTATGGTGATCATGTTGTCAATACTATCATAACCCATGAGATAAGTTAGCTTTTGACAAGTGCCAGGTCATTGAATTTTTCTTATTGTAGACCGGTGGGAGCCTGTCTGGAACAAAACGGAAGTCGGCACCTTCAGTTGCTGGAGATTCAAGCAAGCCTCATTCAGATGGGTCAAAGAAGAAAGTTAAGGAAGAATGGAGCTGCGCAATCTGTCAGGTGAGTGCCACAAGCGAGCGTGCTTTAACTGAACATCTTCAAGGAAAGAAACACCAGAGCAAAGAGGCAGCCTTGATAGCTCAGAAAAGTGGTGCCAACTTTGGTCTCGGGGTTTCACCCAAGAAACCCATTGTGAAGCCGATCAAGCTTTCTTTAACAACCGTGACTCCGAGTTCCTCTGAGAAGAAGTCCAAAAAGAGAAAGGAATCAAGGAAGGAAACATCAAGCAGTTCGGAGGTGAAGAAAGAAGACAGGAGGAAGAAGAGTGAGAAATACAAGTTTTGGTGCGAAATGTGTGAGGTAGGAGCGTTTTCGGAGAAAGTGATGAACCATCATAAGAAAGGGAAGAAGCATTTGACCCAGCTTGCGAAACTTCTTCAGAAGGGTAAAGTGGAAGAAAGTAAAACCCGTAAGGCAGTGGTTGGTGATGATGCTAGGGAGGAAAAGCAAGATGATGGTAGTAGTAGTGTGGTGGTGAATGAAGGAAAGCAAGATGATGATAGTAGTAGTGTGGTTGTGGTGGTGGTGGAGGATAGAGAGAAAAGTGAAGTGAAGGAAGATGCAAGTATTCATCTGATGGGTTTGTAGATCATGTGGGAATGTGTTGTACAGAAGATGATTGATGTTGTGAAGAATACCATCCATCCATCCATGTGGGCATGGTGAGGTTTTAGTTACTGCCTACCTTTTAACTTACTGCTACTGTTATGTGGTTTGGTGGTTTTATGATCCCGTTGGATTTTCCCTTTTGGCTTGGAAAATTTTAAGCCAAAAGCCTTCCAATTATGTAATTTTCATGAGAGGAGGGTTTCCCAATTGGTGAACGTTTTGGTAATGGATTGTGGATGGCTAAAAAGGCCTTTATTAATGCCCAAAATATGGTTACTTTTGCCATGGTAAAATTAGTTTTACTCTTCTCTGTTGCTGTTATGGGGTTTTTTAGGTAGAGAGTATCATAAGCTTGCTTTTGGACTTGGCGAGCATTATAACTCGATCATGCAGGTTTGAAGAACGCTAAAGGTAATATTCATATGTGAAGATATACCTTTTTTTTACATATTTTCTGTATGTATTCAGATCATGAACATGAATCAGAGTTGGTGAAAATGGTTGGCTCAACATATATTTCCCAGTTGGGATCTTTAAAACAGTTTCTAACATCACATGTAGATCTATATTTTGCATTCGTTTCCGTCTTCATTTTGTAGGCCACATCACGTATATGGAACTGTTGAAATAATAACCACGAATATCTAAACCTTCATACATGTAATGCAACGGGGTCTTGCCACGAGATCTTCCTCTTCCTAGCTTGACTCGTTGACGAATCCAGGCCGACGTTACCACAAGTCAGTAGGTTCAAGTCGTTGAGTTTTTCATCGATCACGCTTCTAACTAAATCTTTTGTCCCATTGCCCTCTTGCAATTCTTCTTCTTCTTCTCTCTATCATGAAGGGAAAAATGTCAAAACTATTGAATGTTCTTGTTTGAGTTTAACAAAATCATTGAAATCTTACCGATATTTGGTTCAGATCAAATGTAGGAGGTCGGCTTTTAACCGGAGTTTCTTTACTCGAATCAAACAAATCGGACGGGTTGGTCCTAACCGCTTGGTTTGAATAGTATGCATCCTCCATCGCACCATGCAACATGTGAGACGGTATGCCCAGAAGAACATTTTTCTTCTGGGCATTGTGGTTCATGTTTTGCAAAGCTGCCTCATTTTTCGAGTAGACCTTCTCATTCATACTTTTTCTGTATCGGCTAGTTTCTACAAACCGTGGTTTTACGATGGTGTGCTCTTGTCGAGTGGATGACTTGTTCTTCAAGAGGAATTTGTGCCTTCGTCTCAAAAACCTACGAGTATAATGAAGCAATAAGCTAAATCAAATAAGATAGAGGTGGAACTAGAATTTTTTTTCAAATAGTAACGTTGTTTGGCCGTAACAATGAAAACCAGAGAACTTTCCTTTTATCAAATCATATTAGATTTATTGGTTGATTGCTTGCATTTACATGGTAATGGTTATGGGTTCGACCCCTCATTAAGATGCAAACAAACAGGCCCTTATCATTTACCCAAAAAAGTAAAGTAATTGTTTCTATGAATACCAAGATATATTCAAAATACTTTGAGATGTCGTGTGCATTCATGTGGACCGCGTCATGTACGTAAAGACACCCGACCGGGCTTGAATCACCCAAAGTACACACACACACATATATATATATATATATATATATATATATATACACACACACATATAAATTTGGCAATTATTGACAAATAGATCGATAAATTCTATTAAAGTTGAACCTGTTTACCTAAAAACCACCGAATCAACAAATAAATTGAAATGAAAACGATCTAAATCTTAACGGAATCGAGAGAATGTAAAAAGCGACAAGTTGGATATCGTACCGAACTTGAGCTTGTAAAGTGAGTTTCTTGAGCTTCATGGCCTCTAATTTGGTTCTTGCGGTCTCCGTTTCCTATAATTTGTGTAACATCCGTTCTTCATTATTTGAAACCAATAATTTCAAGCAGTTGTTTGTTTACCTTTTAATAGTTCCATTAAGAGGCAACCTCTTAATAGTTCCATTAAGAGGCAACCTCTAAATCGTTAAGAGATGAATTTTGTTTGGCAAAAAAAAAAGTCTGATTCTTAACGGTTCTAAAACTCTCTGAATGATTTTGTATACTGAATCTTCCTTAATCATTAAAAGCTCTAATTTCATTGTACACAATTACCAAACAATTATATTTCATTTTGCACTATATCATGAGAGTTTCTTAATCATTCTGACCACTTAACCATTCTGCACCAAATCATTCAACAACTGCCAAACAGCCCAAAATGTCTTTCATAATTAAATAAATAACCCAAAATGGGCCCGGTTAAAAAGATAACTTGTAAATACAATACCATTTCACGGTATTTTCAACCATATGTCTTCTTGAACTAGTAAACAAATGGATCTAATAAAAACAGGTAACGTAAATAAAACCGTTTGGTGGAAATCTATATTTCTCTTGTTTAAATCCAGACGCTATCAGAACTCTTACAATCATGTGATGACTTTGTGGATCAGTCGGTGGGTATAAGCTGACCCGACGACCAAATGTTGGAAGATAGATCACAACAATAAACATCAAAATCAAATACAATTACTTACAAAACATATATCTAACAATTAGATCAGAGTGAAGGGCACCCAGAAATCAAAGTGATTAATACCTTTTGCAACTGAAGGTAATCTTGGACAAGGGTTTGATGCCTGAATCTTGCATCCTCATGAGGATATGAATCAAACCCATCCTTCTTCCTCATTGGATCTCAATTTTCTTCTGGGAAAATATCAAGAAAGAAAACAGAGGATGAATGTGGGGAAGAAGAAAGAAAACACAGAATTTATTAAAGAAACAGAGAGATGGTTGTTACTTTTTTTTTTCTGTGGGTTTGTGATGGAGACACTGAGCAAAGAGAAACCCCCAAAATGCCCATATGAATTGGTTCATTAGGCAGAGAATGTAGTGATGAAGATGGGAGTTTTTGGGGGGTTGCAGAAGGGTATTTCTGGTACACCATAATTATTGGTCCTGAGTTGAGTTTGGTTAGAGTTTTTGAAGAAATCCCATCTTTCTTTCTTTCAAGATTTTCTTTTTGTATTTCTTCTCCACAAATCTTGGTCCACCTGGACCTGGGCCATTAGGTGGGCATCAAAGTTTCCATTTTTTTCTTCATCTCCTTTACCAACCTCTTGTGGATGTTTTTCTTTGGATAAACATGAATTTATTGGCAACTTTTGTGGGTATACACTCTATATGTATGTATGTATATATATATATATATATATATATATATAGCTATACATATATGTAGAGAGAAGGAATAGAAGAATACTTTTTAGAGAGAGAGAGAGAAAAGGAAAACATGGATGCTGTCTCCTTGCTGGTGCTACCTTGTTTTCAGGCCTGGGTTTCCTTGCTGGCTGGCTGTTTCTTCTGGGATGCCAACCCCATTTGAAATTACATTTTTAACCTTCTAACCGTTTATTTCCATGGTCAAAAATTATCTGTAAAAGAAAGAAGCCATCTGGGTATTTGATTGGAAGACCTTTGGATGTGGGGTTGTCCAAAAAAAAGGCCAAGATTGATAAGTCTCCAAAGGATAAGAAGGTAATTTCACCCAGACATTTGCATTTGTGGGTGTCACTATGGCCACCATTATCACACCCACCTGCTCAAGCAAGTAATAATGGCTGAATTCATAGTGGAGGGAAGGTGGAAAAGAAGATAGAAGTGGATTAAAAGAACGAACCTTTTTTCAAAGTAAATTAAACTTGCAAGAAAATTATAAACAACATGTTAATGAAAAAATTGAGAGTGAAGTGGACCGATAGTTTTGGTTCGTTGGAAGCCAATGAAATCTGAAGGAAATGAAATGTTCATTCTCACGTTAGGTTCATTCTTTGAGTTTTGGAAAGAATTCAAATTCCACATAAGATGAAATGCAAATTCCTTGGGTTCTAATAAGGAATTTCAATTCATTCATAAAAGTCATCACACTACATCCACTACCACTACCGCCACTTCCATCACCAGTACCGTTGTCGCCACTACCTCCAATATGCCATCACCATCATTACAATTGTTCCCTTCACCACCACCACCGCCACCGCCGCCACTGCTACCATTACTACTACTACTACTACTACTACTACAACCACTACTATTCTATTCAACGAACCAATTAACAGACAAATTAAAAAATTCTTTTGAGAGATTCCTTTCCAATTCTTGCCAACCAAACGCATGGTCAAACATGATTAAATTTCATTCCAATTCATTTGACATATTTCATTATATGTACCTTAGTGTTTCTGGGAACCTATGACCGGCTAACAGGGTGTATCACATTTTAAATGCGCATAATTTTGCAACGAGTCTCCATTTCAGGCTCATAATACGCCGATTCAAAACTTAGAATGAGGAGCACGCCCTGAGTAGGCCCTATAGTTTCAAGGCCAAAAAACACGTTTAAACTTGTGTTGAGACACCTTCGTGTTTTTTTTTTGTTATTTTCCATTTTCCTTTTGGTCTTTTATATTTGACCCATCATTTCTTTTCAGACCCGTTTCTTTTGAACTCTTTATATATATATATATATACATATATATATATATACATATATATATATATATACATATATATATATATGTGTGTGTGTGTGTGTTGGATGTCTAAATTGGATTGCCACTTGACTAATAACATAAAATTCATTTTCCATCCAAATTCTGAGTTCTCTTTGAATTCGCGTTTGAGTCTAAAGTTTTGACATTCATTGAATTAACAAATTTTAGAAGAGGTAATTCCTCAGTATTCAACAAGATTGACCTTCGGTTCAATCTTCATATGTTGCATCATGTTAGGAATAGACTGGTCCTCAAATATTAATTGTTTATCTGATATTCATATTTATTTAACTTGTGTTTAATTTACATTTAACTTTATAACTAATGAAAATCTATTTAAAATCAATATTTATAGCTTAAAGAGATGGTTTATCATGGATACTAGTGTTGATACTAATATGAGCATCCAAGGACCAAAAAGAAGGTAGTAATACTAGAATAATAACTGTAGGGATGAAAAATGACAAAAACTAAAACTAGGAGGACATGTTTTGCAATATGGCCAAAGTTGAGAATGACATCAATCAAGCATCCATGACAATGCCCGACGACCCATTTGCACTTCTTGATACATATCTCATTTGGTTTGCAAACCATTAAATACGAAAACCTTAAAAAAAAAGATGTTGAAGAGAGCAACATATCAAGATTGAGGGTCGCAGGGTTCGAGATCAGGTAGGCATGGGAATGGGTCCCGACCCGTTGAGGAACCCGATCCACCCGCCCCGGTCAGGGACGGAGATTTCCCGTTAAATCGGGAATGGAGACGGGGACGGGGATCCTCGTTTGTCTCAAACCGAGGATGGGGACAGGGACGGGGACGGGTATGGTACTCCCCGCCCCGCCTCGTCCCGTCCCGCCCCGCCCCGTACTCATTATATATATTAAATAAATTTTATATATATATATATATATATATATTATTTATTTATTTCAAATAAAACGTTAATTCATAATTTTCTATTTCCTAACTAGGTTTATAATCTAAAACTGTTATTTTTTGGATATCAAGTCAAAATACAATTACTCGATAAATTTTGTATATTACTCGATATGGTTTTATATTACTCGATATCTTTTGGTACATGTGAATTTAAGTTTTTTTTTATTAAATTAATTATTTTTTGGTTTTAGGTTATTAGTTCATTTATTATGTTGTGTTTTTTTTTGTATTAAATTAAATTTATTTTGGTTTTAGGTTTATTGAAAATGTTTGAGATTTAAACATGTATGGTCTCTCTTACATATTTAATTTAAAATAACTTACATAAACGGAAAAAAAATCTCCGTTTCCCCGTTGCGGATGGGGATGTGATTATATTCCCCGGTGAGGATGGGGACGAAGACGTAGATAAGTAATCGGGGACGGGGACAGGGATTGAGGTCCCCGCCCCATTCCCATGTCTAAGATCAGGGTTGTTCTTGAGGAGGGCTGGACATACATGTGTTAGGGTTCAAAAATATTAGTGGTTAGGTTTTTTAATATATAGTATTGGTTCAAAAAAATTTAGGATATAAAAGAGACCCAAATTTTTTCTAGTATTTATAATAAGAGCAAAAATTGAATTTTACAGATAATACAGATTCAAAAATATATCAACTAATTACACTGGATAATAAAATTAAATGGTTGTTCATTATAATTTATTCTTATTGTCTATTTATTTTTTTATTTGGTACCAAGGGTCAATGTTATTGGTTATTGTTATCTACTGTTTGACGGTTTTTGTGATTTAACAATTCAACCAGATAACAACTTTAACTTTCTGTATTTGTTGTTACTATCTGTTTTTGTTGACTATTTGTATCTACTTATACAATTATGCTTTATTGGTTGTTGTTATTTGCTTATGTTGTTGGATATTATCATCTATTTTTGCTTCTATAGTTAATATTGAACTTTTGTTTGACGATACATATCGTTCTTGTGAGTTATGATGTATTTCATAGTTTTGCAATTAATCAATAATTTTTTTTCTATTAACGCATTTAATGATTTCCCTTATACCTGTCATGTTCCATAAAAAGTTCAATTCTAACATCTTGTTTTTGTGAGCATGAAAAGAAAGAAAAGAAATTCAAATATTTTCAATGAAATTAATTAAAGTAGTCATTTTGACCGCATGGTTTCAACTCTTAGCCATTTTTCTTCTAAAATAACAGTAGATCTACAATTAGCAGATACGTAATTTGCAGAGGGGTCAAAATGTAAGAAAAATGAAAGTTTTTGAACCAGGTCCGCCATTGCAAGGGACCAAATATATAAATTTGGAAAAAACATTTTTGCCACCTATTCCAAATTTTACATATTTAGTCTCTGCAATTGTTTACCTGGTTCAGATTTTTTTTTACACTTTGACACCTCTATAATTTGTCGGCCTAAGGCTATTTTCGTTATTTTAGGAGATAAATGACTAAGAGGTGAATTTCATGCACTGCTTGACTTTTTCATTTTTTTTGGGAATCCACTACACACCACAAAACCCAATTTAAGTGCCCAATCAACCATTCCTTGAGCCTCCTAATCATACTCATTCATTATTTGTTCTTATTAATTCTTAACACATATTTGTTATTTGTTCTGTTTTTTTATTAGAATAACACATATTTCTTTTTTTAAACTAAGAAAAATCCTCATTTTAAAAAATTACCAACCATAATAGATGGTAAAACTCACATCAACCACAAGGGTGGTGCCTAATTTGTTTGAGTTTGGCTTCAAAGGTCAAAAGTACCAGGAGGTCTCAGGTTCAAATCTAAGAAGAAATAAAAATCCCCTTGTGGCTACAGAGGTTCAAATGCGGGGACTCCGGGCTATCTGTAAAACAGGTGGTCGTTCTGAGATTAGTTGGCTCGCATAGTGGGTTGTATATCCAGGTTAATAAAAAAAAACTCACATCTATGTTTTAAAATTTCAAAATTACCCTTATTTTTTTCATACATTGTTGACAGCTAATTACCTAACAAATAGTACATGAATCTTAAGTAATCTCTTATCTATAACTTACAAAAATGAATTTCTTTAGCATTTCTTGTATTCAAATTTTTAAGTAATAGATAACATTTGTTGAATATTTTTCCGTACTTATCGGGGGCCATTATTGTTACATACGCTGAGGGCCTATAAAATATCATAAACGAGCACGTTCGGATTTCTTCAACTTTCATGCAACGATTGAGGAAAGTCGGTAGATGTTATGAGAAACGATTCAAAGAGGCCTGCACATCGAGGTGAGTTTCATGCGATATTGTTTTATGGATTGAATGTAATAAAAAGTTCACTTGAAACCATGAGTTGTTTATGTTATGTTAAATGACGTTATGAGAATATGATACATGCAAGTATGTGATTTACTTTGAAACCGTAAACATGGTTTTATTGTACATTATGTTTATACGTGGTGTATTATTGACTCACTCAGTTCAATGGGTCGTCATGAGATTGTGATGATCTGTACGAGAGTTTGATGTAAGAACAAGAATGGGTCTTGACGGAAGTTAAAAGTTGTAAGAGCAAGGCTGAGTCTTATCTGACATTTACACTGTAAGATTAGACACATTGACATGTTCAGTAAACGACTACTAAGAGTGGGTTATTATTGTATTATAAACTTTAAGATTTATTTCATTGTGAGTTAAAATATAATTTAGGGATGTATTTTCATATATTGTGCTGTTAGAACTTCAGGATGTTATAAAACATTTGGTCGTATTATTAGATTTTGAGCGAGTTGAGAGATTTTCTATATTTATTAATAACAAGTAATAAAAAGCGGATACGAATGCTAGCTTTTCCCAAGAGTATGATATTAACAAAATGGTTGACATAACTGGTCACAAAAGAACCCTTCACGATTTCTTTCTCTCGAAACTACGTCGTGTTGGAATGTGGTCAAGGTCCCGTCACAAAGTGCCACAACTTCTAACTTTCGGTTTGCTGACCACAAAAAGTAGATCTCGAAAATCTGAGTTCCGCCGGTATGGAGAGATGCACATATCTCTATGAGACACCAACTCGACCGACATCCCGAGCCTTAGTGAAAGTTATGCAACAACTCATATCTCTAAATGATTATTGAAGATTTTCTCAAACCTCATTGCATTACTCAAGCTATATTTCGGATCCGCTCATCTATGTGTCAAAGATCTAATATTAAACACAAGTGATCGACTTGTCTGCATTGAGTTAAAGCTTCAACTTGAGAGGAAGGGACCTCTCAACGGTGTCACCTTCCTCTCTTTTGTCTTGATCTTTCTCCTCCTTATTCATGAATATTCAGAGTTGACCACTGCCCATGCCTGCTCCTCATTTCACTGAATTGGAAATAAAATCGTTGCAAAAATTTTTAAGGTTGTTGTTCGCTACAGTGGTGACAACGTGGCCACCACAACCCACGATCCAACATTCATATCCAAATGTCGCATACAATCATCAAAATACACACTTTTATTCTCAACAACTTCAAATCAGAATAAATAAATAAAAAGGGGAAACACAGACACATAAATGGAAACACACACTAAAAGGAAATAAAAAGACACATTAACAAAGAATAAATAACACTCAAAATAAGAGTTGTCAGTAGCATCTCTAAAGATAAACACAACATAATTGAAAATAAACTAAAGGAACTAAAGAGTAAACACAAGATGATCATAAGAAACCGTAATATAACTGATAACAAAAGAAATATTACTGAAAACCATAGTTTTGTCATTAAAAATCTGACGTTACGAGAGAATCCCCTTTGCACTTTTCTCCTAACCTACCATCCTCTCTAAAACACTCAATTTTTTTTCAAAATGTTCAACTCAAACATCTTGCGAGAATTAGAAACGCTCTCTCCGCTTACACAATACACTTCCTAAAAGAAAATAAAATGATTCCTTTTTTGCGTCGCCCTATCTTGCTGGAGGCCTTCATACTCCATTTGAAAGGGCAACTAAAGGAAAAGGGCATTCAATTGCGCTCATATTCATCACTGTAGGAATTGGGTTCAAGCTTTCCCCAGCCCCTTCTCATCAATATCAGTAATCTCTCATTCTCGCCGTCGAGAGACTTAAATAGTTCAACTCAAATATCTTGCGAGAATTAGCAGAAGCTCAACAAATCACAACTTAGATAAAAAAAACATATTCGTTTCTTATCATTCACATTGTTATTGGTCAAACAAATTAGGGATAAATCTCTGCCCCTCTCTCAAAGAACTACGTCCTTGAATTATCAATAAAACGGACCCGATAGCAAAACAACCCCACTTTTTGAAGTCATATACGTAACGTTGGCCTTTATTTTCATAAACCCGTGAAATCAATTTTCTTCACAATACATTGAGAAATAAACATATGACATAGCTGTAAACTTTATCAAGTGATAACTTGTATTAACCTATCAGTTAATTATATAAAAAGGTTAATTCCAAATTAAGACCACTTTATGACGATGGTTGTAAACTTCCATATGGTCTGTACCAAAATGTTTTTGTTAAAAGCATATAATGTGGTCGAAAAGAAACATCTTATCTCAAAAGGTTAATACTGGTCTTCAATATCGATAAACTTATCTCAAGAGATATAAATTGAAAGAATCTGTACAGATTCAAACTCAGATATACATACATTATTTGCTTGAGACTTATTATTAAGCCAATACATACCAAAAACTCCTCATAATGGTTGCCATTTGAAACAAGATTTCTATTACGAGGGATTTCAATTTTATGAAAGGATTTGAAATTGGAGGGATTTGGATTTGAAAGGATTTGGAAACTTTGCTGTGTTTGGTGGTGATGGATTTGGAATAGAATGAAATTCCATTTTTGTAAATAATTTATAAAAAAATTATGAAAATAATAAAAATATCTTTTTATTAACTAGAAAGGTACTCGTGCAATGTAACGAGATACATTTTGATTTTAATATTTCATTTATTCTTTATCTAAGTTGATGTTATAGTAAGGTCTTATGTGATTTTAAGAAAGCGATGATGTTTTATTTTTGAATAAAATATAAATATGAAGATATCGTAAAAATTTGACAATAATATATCGATATTAGTATCAAATTAACTATTTAAAATTCCACATTTTTTGTGTAATTTTTTAATTCAATTATTTTATTATAATTTAATTTAGGTACAATAACGAAATAATTTATATTTG